AAAATCCTGATTCTTTCTCAACCACCGCTGCAAATAGAGAGACGAGCCCTTGGTTCGGCTGTTGTCGCCGCCGCCGCTCGCCATCAGGACGTGTTTGATTTTGGCTTTCGGTCTCTCTAGACGCCTCGAGTGGATGGGGCAAGTACATTGAGAGTCTCACGAATCCATCACCGGCGGAGATTCGGCGCTCCCTATGAACTCGAATTCCTTTCACGGCGGGATCCTCTTTCCCGAAACCGCCATTAAGACGTGATCCATAGCCGTCCGTCCCCTTCTCTCTCGCGCGGTTTACGTAATTATTGTTACGGATAAACCCGTTGCTGCCGCCTCAGCGAGAAGTCATCTAACGTATCGCGAACGAGCTGCGGGCGAGCAGACTGTCGCGAATTCTCAAAATTCTTCGGGGCGGGGGAAGTGTGAATGTGAGTAACCGTTTATACGTGTATATCGGAGTTGTGACATTACGCGCGGGACAAACCCGTCTCGCTCGTTCGCCCCTCACCCCTCCCTACCACCCCTCTTGCAAAAGCGTCCGCACGGTTTGCATAACTCGTTGAACCGAATCATACATGTCCGCTACTTTATCGTTTTCGAGACTGGTTTAGCTACCGGCTCCTTCACATTATCGTTTTGCGCGCCCGAGGATTATTAGGTCATTAGGTGGATAAGGACACAAGTCGACAAGTGACAATAAAAATGCGAACGAAAGAATAGCAGTGTATGAGCGTGTATTTGACAGTGTTTTTCTTTTCTCGTACGGCGGCACACATTATTAGAATTCGCAGTACGTATGCGATTTAAGTTGGAATGTTATATTATTGCTAGTTGCTGCCGGGCGTGCCATGCTCGTTCGTAATAGGCTGCCGTGCGCATCGTAAATAGGATGTTGAGTGCGTGTATTTGTATATCGTGTACATGTATGCACGTATTCGTGTGTTCGTGTAATGTGTGTATGTACGTGTTTGTGTGGAGTTTCGCGCTGCAGCCGGGATGATTAACGTGGAGCAGCGCGAGGGCGCGATCAAAACCGATCTAATTCCCCGTCTCGGGTGCGACGGTCGTTGAACGTCGGCCAGTTACGAAAGTGGCTCCCGGTCCTGCTCGTAGAAAAATCTCAGTTCGGCTGATTGGCCGTCGTCCAAAGCGCGACGCACCTGCAAAGCCCGATCAGTCCCCCCCGTCACGGTCATCCCCGTGGAGACGCGCACACACGAGCACAGCACGCCCGGGGTACATCGACACATCGATTTAGTGGGTAACGGGTGGGGCCTCTATGTTACAACGCGAATTACAGTGTAGAATATCATCATCGTCGTCGTTCGTTATACAACAATTATCGTAATAATTATTATTATCATCATTGTTTCATTGTGTGTTATCGATCGTCATCGGGTGTGCCTAAGACAAGTCGGTATTAAATATCTTACAATACACATCATCTTTTTCATATATTTATTTATATATATAATATTTATATATACTTTACCTTTTTCTTTTTTTTATTTATTATGTATACTATCTACCTAAAGGGTATTCAGATTCATTTCTTGTGTTCCGTTCGTTTCATCTGCCGTTCTGGTTCGTCGATGGTGAGAAAGTAAAAAAAAGGAGAGGGAGGAGGGGAGGGGGTGCGGGATCGGGACGGGTGAATGACGGCCTTGATGCCTCGCAATCGAGTCACGCGGCGATGAGAGGCAGGACGTTCGCAACGTCGACGTTCGTTACGCCGACGAGACGTACGGAGACGAACGAAATTGTCGCTAATATAAAAATAGTTAAACAAACGGGGGTGTGTGACGCCAAAAAGGATCGACGAGAAATGTTTTTCTCTTTCCGGATCCCGCAATCAAGCTCGGGATGACTCGATCACGGGCACTCGTCGATGGGGTCGCGAGAATGACGCTGGTCAGGGAATCGCTTACATTTCACGTCTTTTTTTTTTTTCGTTACACAGGACGACAATCGGTGACGAAGTATCTCGCTTTCGAGGAGACTCGCATACTCCATAAAAATTATTCCGCCGTTCTTTCCGCATCGCCGTAAACGCCGCGGTGTGATTCTCTGCACGTCGCTACGTGACGCTATACGCTTATACACATACAAAACGAGTTGGTTAATTCTTCATTTTTTTTTTCCGAGGCGGAGTTACAATACCCATATTACAATACAATACATATACACATTAGATTAGTTATCTGTTATTAAATTAAGCGTCGGATTTTATACTTTTTTCTTTCTCGTGATCAACTGCTGGCGTTTAATTTCTGTTTACACGCGACACATCTTATCGTGCTTAACCTGCACTCGCCACGTGCCGATAAACGAATCACCGAAAAGAGCAAGATTTCAATGTATCATTACGATAAAAAAAGGAGAAAATTTCCGATGAGAAAAAGTGCAGAAACCAATTGTATCCCGAGATGTGAAGAAAGTATCGTTCGAAGGGAACAGAGGTGTCTCGAATTTATACACGAAACGCGTCGCGAAATTACATCTTCGATTCGTCGTACGAAACGTGGCGTTACTACGTGCGTATTGCTCCCTACTTTTTTTTTTAGCGACACATACAAACATTATCCGTAGGAATAAGCTTCTCTATGCATTGCCACTCGTATGCAATTCGATTAATCAGGTATTGTTTGAGTATTTCTTCAGGCATTGTGTGTGAAAAGCGTGAGTTTTGATCATTGAAACGAGCAAGAGGACGCGAAGTAAGAAGTAAGTGATGAGTCTGTAAGTGAATTTCGGTTGATCGGAAACGTTAATTAAAAGTTGCGAAAAACACGCGTGATTCGAATACTGCTCCCTGTTGTGGCGTGTTTTAAACGTGCAAACACGCAGGTAAATTATCGATCGCTGCACTGAAAAAATGAGTTTGCTCGGATCTATCTGACAATGGACGAGCAAACGCGTTTTGGCTGAAGAAAACAAAATTTCCAGCTTCATCAACCTAATTTGATTCTTGTAACCAAAAATTCGATATCCTCCAATGAGAACGCGTTTGGTTGTCCGTTGGTCAGGTAGATCCAACCAAACTCATTTTTCCGCGTACATTTGGACACACGCGAAATTTCCAAAATAAAATTACCTTTTCGGTGGAAGAATATAAATAAGTGACAAGCGGAAACGAAATCTACCCTCGAGAGCAAAAACAATCGATGATATCGCATTGAACGTTTGTGACATAATGTTGCGCATTAAATGACCGTATTAAGGGACGCGACTGACAACGAGGATAAGAGGGCGGGGGAGAAGAAGGGTAAATGGTGAGCAACGAAAACGATACATAATACATACACAGATAAAAACATAAAGAGAGAGAGAGAGAGAGAAAAAGGGGGAGGGGGGGGAGAGAGAGAGAGAAAGAAAGAAAGAAAAAGAGAGAGAGAGAGAGAGAGAGAGCAGCATACAAGGGAAACGAAGGGGGGTTTATCTTGGGCGTCTCAGCTTTCGTAGAATCTAAACGTGGTTTCAATAAATAAGCTACCTAGGGAGCGATTTCTTTTTTTCATTTTTTTTTTTTTGGGGAGAAGGGACAGGCGCAGGCCTTACGTGGTGAGTCTGCGAAGACGAACCGCTCCAGGGAGAGACGGCACCACCTCGTGCAAGTTGAAACGACGGCGCAACAACGAGGGCTGGGGTGGCGGCCGGGGCTGTAGTCGGAAACAAAAACACAGAGACGAGAGAGAGGTAAGGCCGCGCGCGAGAAGTTCCCGCCGACGAGGATGGGTGCGGGGGACCCGGTGCCGTTCCCCCTGGACGTTCCCTTCGCCGAGTCGCCACCGCGTCATTATATTCACGTCGTCTAGCCTAATAATACAATCTGCGATAGCGTTTCTAAGGATTAAGTTTTTCTTCATTAACGATAATGCATTATATTACACACACTCACACACTTTCCGAAGGCGAATTACGTACGCACGCAGAATGCACACAAATCTAATATACGCTCTCACGTGCGCGGAACGCGCAGTACGAACCGTTTCGCCGTTCTCCCGCGCTATTTCGCGGTCCTTCGGTCCTTCGAAGGTGCGGAGAAGCGCCTCTCGAGGAGGTAACTTTCGACGTTCGCGGTGGGAACCTCGGAGACGGACGTACGAGAGCGCGTCGGCTCGATCATCGAATCGTCAACGGCCGACGGGACCCTCTTATTAAAGGAAAACTCGAAGTCGACCGTCCCACCCCCGCCGGTCCCTCCCTCGGTTCCCGACACGATCGGGCGCGAGAGTTCGTAACCCACGTCGGCGACGGTAAGGTCTGCGCGTCAGTCGCGAGCACGCACACATTATTCATACACGCGGGCAGGCACGCACGCACGCACGCTACGTTAGGCGGCGTAATTAGCACAGCGAGCGGGAGAGTCTTGCGCGGCGTGAGCTCTACTGCGCAAGCGGGCGTAAGAGCGACGACGTACGAGCGTCCGCGACGACGTGACAAATATTTCCTCGTGTCGGAGCAGCGGCGCTGAGAGAGCGCGCGCTTCAAATCGCCCAACGGAGATCCGTAGGATCCGGCGATCGTGATTTCCTCTCTGTCTCGCGCGGCCGGAAGTGAATTTTCCCCGCGGCGGAGAGAGGGATTATCAATCGTGAACCGAGGAAGAGTCAGCGATTACAGACCGAGAGAGTCGTCAATTTGAAATCGAATTTGGAAGCCGAACGCGCGTCAATTTGCTCGCCCGAGTCGCGAGCCGGAGGTGCGAACTTGCTACGCACACACTCACCTTGTTGTTGTTCGTCGGGCAACGGTTTGAGGCTGCGCTTTATTTCTTTCCGCCAATCCGCGTGCACGCGTGATCGCGAACTCCGTCCGGCCGCATTGACGAAACGCGCCGATGCACCTCGGGAGAATCGAGGCGAATTTGCGAATTGAAAGTGACGTACTTGACGGTTGATCCGGTTATTAATTCCGGGAATTGTCTCACGATCTGACCGGAGAATACGGATCGAGCACGGATCACCTGTGCCCGGGGGACAAGGGGGGAAGGGGGGGGGGAAACACATGTGTTCGCCGGCGTGCGCCGTCCGCGCGTCTCTTCGCGCTACATTCGCGGACCGGTGACCGCGCTCGAAGCACAGCAGCCGTTCGGTTGCGCTACGCACGATATCTACGTAACCGTGAATCAACCTCCTGTTGTTCTCGGTTGTTCGCCGAACGATCCGACCGGGCAACAACGGCTCGAGCAAATTTGCATTGGCTGGCGCGCGCGGTACCGCTCAACGCGCAGTATCGAGTGTGAAAAAGAAGTATACTAATTGGCCACGCGCTTCGTCATAGGGATGAAAACAAGGCGGGAAGGAGGAAATAGATAGAGGAAAACAGACAGGTCGCGAGAGTGAATAAAAAAGGATGGACAGAAGGACGGGGGAGGGAGGGGGAGAACGAGAGCGATTCATCGCGCGAACCAAACTCACGGGGGAATCAACGATAAAAAAGAAACGCTCTTATCGTTATACATACTTGCCTGAAGGGGGTCAGTCGGGGCAAGTGTAAATCGAACTTAACCGCGTGAAATTGAGATAGCTTTATATATCAGCGGGAACATCCGCGCGCTTCCGCGCGCACGCTTCGTCCCCCCACGATCCGGACGCGCGTTATCTCCGACGACGGCGGCTTCTTCGAAGGCGGAAGCGGCCATCGGCGCAGCTAACGGCGAGCGTGGGTGTGTTATGCTTAATGCCCGGAGCGTGCCGCGCCCTCGCTCAGCCTCGCGACCGATCGAACGAATACATGGGTGCTTCGAGTCGCGACTCACGGGGCGCCGCTAAGTGGGCTCCTGACATCCCGACCGGTACGGCTTCCACCAGCGTATTTGGCAGTCTGATCTCAGGTTCTCACGGGGTATGGAGGAGGCAGTCTTGATCGGCGAGCTCGTTACCCGTTGTTGGCGGCTCTCATTACTTGCTGGCCTGGACGAAGCAGTTCTCCGACCGTCTCCGGGGCGCCGAGTTCTTCCCGTTCTGCCGCTGCTTCCAGCGATTCCTCAGGTGCCGCTGGCGGTGCGGGGGCGTTTGGACGTGGTCCCTCGCGCTGTCGGCCTGCAGCAGGAAGTTCTTCGTGGCCCTCGTGACCGGCGACGGTTTCCTCGAGACGGGGAACGGCTCCCGCGGCTCCATGCCGCCCATCTGCGCGTTCACCAGGCTGTTGTGGTGGCTTATGTCGACGTGGGGGTTGTACTTCATGAAGTTGAAGCACTCCTTCCTGCCGTGGGGTCTCTTGATCGGCTTGCCCCGGCTGTTGAAGCCGATGTACCGCGTCTTGTCGACGACGCTCCTGTAGCTGAGATACTGGTCGCGGTACATCTCGAAAAACTGGCACATCGGTCCCTTCTGCTCCTTCGGCTGCAAAGTAAACCCGCCAACGGTTCACGATATACACACTACTTGTGCCGTCTCGGCGTTCGCGAGTCGCCGGCGTTGAATTGGAATTGTCAGTCTGACGTTCGGAAGATTCGACGAGATGTCATTTGTGCACAGAGTGTCCGATCATTTCCTCGGTATGTGGATAGAACGAGTGAAATTAAACGGTAAAGTCAACGTACCATTTTGCAAAATTTGGAAGGGGAGAATCTCAGACACCCTGTGCATTGCAATATCATTCGTTATTATTATTATTTCAAATCAATTGCTATATCAATCTCCGCGAAATGTTAAAAGTATCCCCAGAAATCTGGGAATTTGTCGGGCTCTCGCGATCGCTGAAGCGATTGAAATCGGGAACTCCGAATAAAGTGATAGATTCGCGTACAACTTTGATCACTACCGGCATGAGGACTGCTTAAAGTTACCGCGGACAAATTGAGAGGCACTTAATGCCTACGATGAGTCGAGTAATCTATTGGACTTTAACACACGTCGCGATCGTCGGAGCCTTAAATCATCGGACAGTTAATGGCCCGATTTCTAAATTACAGCCTCGCACGCGAATGATGAATAGAAATTTACGAACAGCGAGGCGCGCGCGTAAATCTACCTGCTCGCTCGCGGGATGATGAAGTACGTCTACTAATTGGTAGGAAAGTAATTACCAAGGCAACAAGTTTCCACCGCTTGTTGAAACAAATGTATCGCTGGCTCTTCTCCGCATAGATGTACAGCTGCCTGCTGAAATCCTCCGATCGCGTAGTGAGTTCCTCTGTAACACGAGAAGCACAAGGGAAAAAGGCTTTATTATACGCGCCGAAAAAACGACGGAGCGTCGACACGACGAATTACTGTTCACTCGAGAATTCCCTCCCGTCGATATAATGATTTGTCGTGAGAATCGCGAGAAGATCGTTTCTAGATTTATCCTCCGCTCCGGGAATGAGGAAAACGGTGCCCCACGTCGCAGGGAATTCGGCGGTACTCGCGGCAGGGCTCGAAAGATCCTTGCGCGACTTGCGATTTTCACCGGCCACGGAGGAGAGTCCCTCTCGATCACGAAGGAGGGACAGGATGCACAAAGCGAACCGTTTTGTGCCTCGGTATGCGCGCGCTGGCATATTTCCGAGAAGAGACCTCGTCGAGGTTTATGGCGCGAGTTGTACCTACAACGACGACGGGGCCCCTCTCTATACCAGGCGCTCTTCGGCACCGAGAAAAGAAGAAAAGACTCGGGTTGCCGCCGAGGCTAGTTGGTGCTAATGAAGGAGGCACAGACCGTCCGGTGTGTGCTTTGCCACTTAGCGGATCCTGTCGTGCCTCGACCCCGTGCTGCACGTTGCACCGTGCGGCCGGTGCAGTACGGTCTCTCCTTTCTTCCTCTCTATCTCCCGGCCTCTTTCTCGCTCCCTCGCCCCCGTGTGTCCTTCTATCTTTCCTACCTGGTGTTACGAAATTCTGTCGAGCGAGAAGCAGGCGCCCTTTGTCCGCCGGGTGAAGACGAGAAAAAAAGGACTAACCGGGTACAGGTGCGCGCGCGCGGTTCTCGTCTTCTTTTTTTTCCATTTCAGTTCCGGCGCGAGAAATATCCGCCGACGTGCTCTTTGCCGGTAACACATCGTCAGAACTGGGTCGACCGATCCTCTTTTTCGTCACCTGACTCCTTTTTCCTCGTCTCTTGCTCGAGAGCGAGAAAGTGCGTGAATCGTTCGTAACGCGCGATTATATTCCTACGATATTAAAATCAAAAGTCAATTCGTCTCAAAAGAGAAAGAGAGAGAGTTGCGACGTGCGCCGGTTCCGTCCGTGATGGCAATACGATTGTAACAGAAAAACAAAAGTTTCGCGCTCTTCGGCTAATACGTTTGTCCAGAGCCGATCGCAACGTTTCTCGGAAACTTTGTGACGGAAAGCGCAATCTCGAGATCGAGTGTTTGTCCGAGTCCGCGGACCACTAGTGCGGCATGAGCTTCAGGAGTATAGAGAAAATGAAGGAGACGAGTCTGCAGGGTGGCCCATTTGCCGGAGCCTCGTTAAATTCAAGTGGTTCTCGTCGAATGCTCTCCCAACATCGAAATCAAGAATGTCCCCGAACTGCATCGTAAAGCCCTTCTTCGACCACCTCTGTCTCTCTCACCTCTACTATCGTTTCCTTACCTGCGCCTCACCTTCTCTTTCGTCGCTTCCCGCCGGTCTTCGTGAACGAGAAAGAAAAGAATAAGGGAAGCGAGATGCAGAGAGAGAGAGAGAGAGAGAACTTAATCTCAAACTGCTGTCTCGCAAGCCTATCACGGAGCGTAGTCTCCGCCAATTAATCGCGCCAGTTATGCTAATTAATTGGATCTACCTTGCAATGGGACGCCAATTTCGATAGTGTCGCGAAGAGGGACAAACAATTGTCTTCGCTGTTCTTTGGTTAACTCTGTATGGTCTACACAAGGAATGCTCATGTTTTACGGGTTACGCGTCTTTAAACATGGAACCGCAGCGATTGTCACCTCTCCGACTAATCGATGAATAATTATTATAATTGACAATTAGTGAGACTCAGCGTGATTTTGATTATTGCAAAACCGTATTGTTCATTAACACTGTAACAGATGTCAATTACCCACATTAAGTCTTCACATTAAGTCTTCAAGTGAAGAAAACGAAAATAATCCCCTATTTGTAGCATCGAAAGAGCAATAGAAGATCTAACGAAGACTTAATGCAGAAGCAAGTAGAACTAAAAATTTCAACTCGGGCAGTCTCGAAGCTTCCCAGTCACATTATCGAAGCGAGAATCGCACGAATGATGCAAGACTGTGGAAACTTGGGCATAGCCCGAGAAGCTGGCGCGAATCGACTCGCGGAATACGCGTAACATGATAACACGAGCCTCACGAGGGTTGAACACGAACGAGTCAGAAACTATCGAGTGTGAGCGTCGATGCTTGTCTTCCTTCCGGTCCGTGACACCGGAATTTTAGTATGCGCCGTGCAATATCTGCGGCACAATGGCGGAAAAAGATACGATGATAACAACCCGATGGCAGCAACGTTACCGTGCTCACAAAGCCCCATTTCTCCCTTCCAACTCGCCAACTCTCCTTCTCCCTCACTCATTCTCTCTCCCCCTCTCCCTTTCTCTACGTGTTTGCTCGTTCCAGTTACCCATTACCGAACTTCCACATTTCCGGTGCTTCGTCGTCGGCGACCGAAGCAATCGCAGCGAAACTCTGTCGCTTCGTCTCGAAGCGATGGTTATCGTCATCGAAGAAAGGAAGCGAGACCGGCGCGCGCCATTCGAGTGCTGACGCGTTTGTTAGTAAGTTGCCAGACGCGCGGAGTTTCGCGACAGGCGCATTGATTTCAATCTTCCATCTGACGGATCTCCTCGGCCAATGAATCTCTCCTCTCTCTTTCTCTCTCCCTCGCAGTACCGGAGTGTAAGACGAGTACGATAAGTGATTTCAGCGAATGCCGTAGTGCTACACGATATTCCATACTATTTTCGCGAGATAGAATTAATGAGACGGACGACGCGAATAATCTCGAGAAAAGTACGACGTACTTGGGAACGTAAAGACGGAATACTCCGAATTACTTTCTGGCTATTGAAGAGACAAGTAGAAACCAGAATAATCGATGAGAATCAAGACGGTCGTAAAACAGAACATTCGCTCCCAACCGCGGCCCGCCGGGCATTTCCCGACGATTTATACGATATACATCTGATATCCCGTTTGGAAAATGTAAAATTCCCGGTGTAAGGGGGACATTCCAACGCGAGACTTATTTGGAATCGATCGATGCAACATATATCTTAGCGGAGGATGCCACGGCGGAATTTATTCATGGCGCACTCGCAAGCACGGCGGCGCGTATGAGGATGAAGAGAGGAAGCCACTAAATTTTTCGCTTCAAACCTCTGTCTTCCCTCCCTCAACTTCCCCCTTACTCCCTGCCCCCTCCCCCC